TATCAGCTTTGGTGTCTGGCCATCAGAGTTTGAATAAAACGATCAAAATGAAGACTCTGCGCTGGTAATATTGATGATTTTTGCCAACGTCCTCACTTACAATACGTAACAAATGCAACGTAAACACAACTCTTATAACATTTTGCTCAATAATTCAGCAGCATGCGGTTGATATAATGACTTTTATTCATCTAATGTTCAGAGTGGGATTGAGTATTGAGTACAGTATGCACAACAATGCAACACGACATTTGGCGTGTGTTTCGATAGTTTTGCCTTCTTCAATTAATATTGGCATGCAATCTACTCAACTAAACTACTTCGTAACCAATTCAAGTGAAACTTTAAACGAGAGTGTTAGACTGCGAGGTATTAAGCTTTTATTAACTCACCGTTTTTTGCTGTGTTACAGTTTACTAAAACTGTAGTCTAGCCGCACCGAATCACACATGGGCGACGTGTGTGCTTAGCTCAGATCCATTGAAAATATGGCGCGAAAGCATACGTGATTGCGAGGCACTCATCTTTACAATTCGTATTCGAAGTTTTGGTATAGATTTAAAACGCTTCAATAACTTTCCGATCAGAGGTCGTACGTTCCTAGGCGCGATGATGACGTCTACTTCAAAATATTTCACGTTAAGCGTCTCTGTTATTGTTGTTATTATTATCTGTTATGCCCTATGCGTATCACTGGGGTTTTCAAATTATATCTATTTTGATACCTAGGTGTTCATTTATAAGGTCACTTAGTGACCTACCCGTTTTCAAGGTAAATCACACACCTTTCTATGGTACATAGACGATCGTACACGCGGTTGTGAACTAACTGACGCTTGAGATTATTAGGTGGTATCGCAGTTATTAAGAGCGCATGTGGCGCAGTGATTAGAGGTGCTCTGCGTCGCACACGAGACTCAACGGTGTCGATCTAGTGCGTCATGGCTCACCAAGCCATCCATCCTTCCGCGGTCGGAAATGGTACAGACAGGTTCAGACTGTGGGAGGATGAGCAGCACGACTCGGTTCAGCGGGAGGCCACCGCGAGTCATTTTAAAGGTCAGATATGCATCCAATCACCTCAAACGAAGTTAAAAATACAGTCGAATGCATGGCGCATCCTCAGGATTGATCAACGCCGAGAGATTATCCTTTTATCTCAGTATTGCAAAGTGATTCACCAAAGCCTGCCCTCTTGAAACGACGTCTCATAGCTATAATTATTTTGTTGAAAAAGAAGGGTTTCATCAAAAAGACCTTAGTTTTGGTAAGACTTCCGTTTGAGGACCCGTGAGTTTCTCTAAATTCACTAGGTGAGCTATATTTTTATAGACAGTTAAAATGGCTATTTGCTAAACCAATTTTAACGTACAACGTTGTCTCTCTTCAGTATACACACAGGTAGCTGAGCGGAATATGTTTTCCATAAGCGATTCATGGTTTTTCTCCTACGAGGCAGTAAAACGCTTTTTTCAGAAACAATCGCAGTGTTGATGACATCTTCGCTATCTTATGACTAGTGATATTTTAAGGGAAGAATTTTAAAAAGATGCGTGTGTGAAGCCCAGCGCCATTTTGCCTAATACGGCGCTTTCAGAAGGCTTTTAAGGTATAACTGCATTTCAATATCTCTGAGATTTACGCTATGAATGACCACTGAGCTCTGTCCTTTAGGTCGTAAGTTTTATGTGCGCGACGCAAGTGAAACATGATGTTATTTTTTGTGCGCCATATGAAGGCTTTTTCAGAAAACAAATAATTTGTTTATTTCGAGACGCAAACTCTCGAAAAATCACTAAAAGTCTAGTGGAAAATTTTTATCCAGCGAAAGATTCTCCTACAAAATCCTTGTGAGATAAAACGGGAAAAGAATACAATTGTTTTATACCCACTGGTTAAGCATCGATGTGAATACTTTTCCAAGTTACAAGTGAACAAAAGTTCTTTCTATGAAATTGTGTTTGAAATTTTCAGCTATTTTTTCATAGAAAACAATAAACGCAAACGCATCACTGCATGCTTTCACTAATTTCCTGCATTGCTGTAACCAGTTAGTACTCGTGTGATTTGCAAATTTATTTCTGATTGAATGCTACATGAATATTAGTCAGCTGGAGATATTCGCAAGAAATATCAAAGTTCAATTTCAGTTTCAACCGACAGTGGCTCGTGCCGAGAAGAAGTGCGATCCAAACGGACCCAATGCCAACAATCGAATCGCTCTGTTCACTACATCTTGCCACATCATTCTCGCACCAATTTGCCTTATGATGTTCGTGGTCTATAAAGATTTCTTGTCAAGAAGACGATTTTGAATAAATAAGATTTGCTGTTTCAGACCGAAAGAGTTCCTGGAATTGTCAAGAATGTGCCGTCAACATTTGCTATTGTGACCATTCCCTGTACAGGCATACTACAAGGCATGTTCATCTTTCCAGTGCAAAGTCCTGTCACCGCGTTGCCGACGATGATGCAGTTGGGCTCATCATCCTTTGCGGCTGCAAGAAACTACGAATATTATGAGGGAATTTTTTCAATCACAGTTGAAAACTTAAAAACCTGGAAATATCCTGAGCATCTACTATCCTCTCTCCTCAGAAACTCTTGTACTTTCTTTTCTTGAAAATTTCAGATAAAGTTAATTTTGATGCCATCATCATAGATTTCCGATATTTCAGGACATTTTCTCGTAAATTTCCAGAAATTATTCAGGGATCAATAAGCACCTATTTGCTATACATTTGCTTGCATTCTTTTGAATGATGTTTGACAATGACCCACGCATGCCCGCTGGCATAACAGACATCTGGCAATTCATCGGTGTGTAATTGATCGTAACATTAAGTTGATCCAAAATGGCTGAGATTACGGCATCTGGATGAGTGCGCTACGACCCTGGCGTTCAAGAACATCAAAAACCTGGAGAAAAAGACAGCAGTAGTTGTTAGAGATTAGTTGAAAGTTACCTATAATCATATTATCAGCTATGCAGTCATGGAAGTCACTCAAAGCCTGATTTGTCGCTAAAATTTTCAGGCTCGTCTCTTACGTCATGTCAGAATCGCAAAAGAAGACACACACGCATATAGATCTAAGAGATTGTGAACTCACAGTTTGCATCACAACGCGTTCCACAAAACCTCTAGCTGCCGCCTCGTTAGGTGCAATGCCCGGGAAGAGGGCTGGATGTTGGGTGCTCCAGAGTAAACCATCGAGACAGGCAAAGATGTGAGGCCTGTGACGGTGAAAGGCCTACTACTCGCTGTAACAAAAGTTCCTGCTTATTTGTAATGAATAGTTTGAAATCATATTAAATTTGTAACAATCTTTTTCTTTTCATTATTATTTGAGCCAACATGTCATGTGTCTGGTAAGGGCTCTTGTACAGCCCGAGACACGTGTTTCGTCCTTACAGACTCATCAGCCGGGCAGAACCCGTCCGTCTGTCGATCTTTTTCCTAGTCAGTTCTCTCGGAGCGTCACACTCCTTATATATAGTTATCGACGACCTACGCTTTACACTCTATTGTCAGGTGAAACTTTCACCTAACACAGAGTGTTTTCGCACTCGATTGCTACTGGCTGGTATTGGAGTGTACGCTCCCGAGATAACTGACTATGAAAGATCGACAGACGACGGGTTTCTGCCCGGCTGATGAGTCTGTAAGGACGAAGCAAACAAAGCACTCGAGATAAAGATCTTTTTCTTTCTTGTTGACCTTTATGATCCTCATCTCTGAGGCCTGTCTTTTTTTCCCACCCTCTGAATTCCTTCATCACAGTGACTGAGATGACAGATCTTGAGTGGTGTTTGAAGCCTTAGGTATAATCAATCTTGATTAGAATTCATAACATCTACTTGAGTATTTGTATATGTACAGGATCTTAGTGATCTCGATATTAATCACCTTGACCTGCAGGCATCACTCCACATCCAAACACTGTCGAGATCGCGGTCAGCAAAACCATGAAGGAATTGCTTGGAAGAATCGCCATGCTGGTAAGAATGTTCATCAATAACTAATGAAATCGACTGATTCGAAAGTTTACGGCTGAATCTGCTGTTTATGAGAACACTGAAGTCAGCTAATGCGAAGAAACCGTTGGAAATTCTTTATCGGATTACATGAAAAGAATTACTTAGAAAATATCAGCGAATGAAGCTACTTCTTGGATGCTGCGGCATAAATTTGATTCTCTAATCTCACATGTTATTCAGGGACTAAAATTCTTGACTTTCTCAAAACAAATTATTCGCAGCCGAGAAAACGCCGGAACTACGGGCGAAATTTTATGAGAAAACTGTGAATGAAGACATCGATTAACAAAACGAACCATGCGTTTTCTTGCAGAATGTTTACTGCAACAAAATCTCAAGAAGCAGAAATCGTGTTTGCTAATCTTTGATAATATCATTAGCCTCTATCACTTAGCAGCTTACGAGATCCTAATTATTGACGGATGGCCGAGTGTTAACTAGAGCATAAACTTCTATAGAATTGCATTTTCATTTGAGGGATTCAGAAAACGGAAATGAGATGATTCCAAGAACCACCGCTACATGGAAAAATGGAATCGTATCAGAATTCGTCATAGTAACATGCGTTAAGTCTTTTCATGGGACCCATGAATTCTCAATTTTGATGAGACTGGCAATGTGGTTGCACGGAAAGGGAACTTCAAGGTTTTGAAGAACGCGACTAACGTGACACTGAGCAGGGCATTCTTGTCATTCAAAACTTTCCAATCTTCTAACGAAGGTGGATGTTTGCTCAGCGCTTCCAATTTCTCGCAACTTCTCTGCATGTGCAGACATAACATAATTTCTTGCCGCACATTTCGCATAGCGATTTCTTATTCCTCTGTGAACGCTCTCAAACTCTTATGATTCACCTCATTTCTTCAGATGTTTTCTGAAAGCACCATCTGAGAATCTTGTTGCCATTTTCGCATCATAAATAGTCATTTCGACTCAATAATGTGGAGTGCTGCGCAAACATTTGCGTCAGCTGGGATTCGAACCCAGATCTCACTGTTTCCGGGAGCTATGTAACCGTTGCACCACCACGCACGTGTTTTGCACAGCACTCTTTTTACTCTATAACGCGTTGTCTGCTAACAGCCAACCGGCGAGTCTTGCTATCGGCATTGAACCCACTTATGTTGACAGATATTGGTTATCGATAATCAATCAGAATTCTCTTTTATTTGACCGTTACTTGCGGTGGTATGATGCTACAGTATACCCAATAATGTGGCAGTACTGTGCAAAACAAGCGTCGGTGGTGCAACGGTTAGCAAACGCTCCCGAAAGAGTGAGATGTGGGCTTGAGTCCCAGCTGACTACAAATGTTTTCGCACAGCACTCCACATTATTAGGTATTCTGTAACATCATACTACCGCAAGTGGCGGCCGAATAAAAGAATTCGTGACAGTCATTTCGACTACTTTGCATCTTGGCATATAAAAGTATTCCGAATTTGGAAGTGGCACTTATAGATTTTCTAATCGTCAATGGTGAGTTCTTCCGATTACAAAAGTGTGTCACTGTGATGAGAGCTACTTGAGTATAAAAGATTAAATGAAATTTTTTTTTATTTAACCGCTTCTAGAGGTGATATAATGTTTCAAATATATACCAATTGATGTAGAAACGACCTGTAGAAGCTGTTAAATAAAAAGAATTTCATTTGATCTCAAATGTTGAATATCTGTCACCATGACCTGGATTCATTGTCGAGATCGACTTACCTGGGCTCGGCCGTTGACGACTGACGCTGACAGATAGATGAGCTGTAGCGTAGAAAGAGCGATGTGCAAAATGGGCGTCAGTAAGGGTAACAGATAGAGCACGCTCTCCCGCAAGGAGTGAGATGTGGGTTGTAAATCCCGCCTGATGCGAAAGTTTTACACATCAATCTGCATCCAATGGATATTTCAGTATATTCATGTTCCTGTAAAAGATAAACCACCGCACTTTAGCTCAATTTCACTACGCTAACGAGAGTCGACTAATACGAAATCCAAGTGTTCTGCTCCGTATATTATACGAATAACAAGTCGAAAGCACCGTTACCTGTAAAATCATTGTGTCTCCAGTTTTATAAGTGTTTGAATGAACATCAATTGGAGGTGAATAAACAGTGTTGTATTGTAACAACTCAATGGTGTAGCAGTCCCTTGTTGTCTTTGACTGAAATGCTGACGGCGCGTGAACTATTACACTACGGGATTCTCCAGCATCTTGATAGATATTGTACTAGTCGGAAAATTTGAACGTTTTTATCGAGTATCAAGTAGCAGGAATAATTGAAGCCCAGATCTATGTAGTTTGCTGTGCATTAACCGTCGGCAGCGTTATTGAAGTTCACAGTGAAATGTGAAGCTAGGATACTATTTTGTTCGTCCGTAGCTTTGTGCTTACTCAATTTGTCTCAATGTGATGGTTTTCAAGACGGACATAGCTAGAATAATTATTGTGAATACTCACAAATTATCGTAGTCTGATGAAAATGTGGGGCGGGGGTCACTGAGGAGGAGGACGAACCTCCGAAACACCGGTGTATGGCCCTGGGCGTACCAACCTCGTTTTAGGCAAAAAACATTCTTTTCTTGGATCTGATTTTGAATGTTCATTACGATGGTTTTAGAAACGTCGATTTGAAAGAAAATGAGACTGTCGAGATGTTAGCGATGCTAAAATTTGGAGCAACCTTATTCAGGCTCATCAATAAAACAGAATATTGATAACTTTGACCGAGGTTAAAGAAGAGTGAAATTTGTACAATATTGTATTGGGAAACATGTAGCGCAATACATTGGCCAGGTCGCTTTATGAGACTTTCTGCTATTTAAGCGCTTAGGGTAGTGTTCACGTCACAATAATGACCGTTTAGTTTTGAAGGTCCCAAATCTTTCGCCATCCAGATATTAGAAGAACCCATTTATAAGCAAACCTCCCAAGGAGTTTTTGCTATCTTTTCGGGAATATACATAATAATTTAGGCAACGCAGATGGTCCATGACTCTAGAGAGCAAGTGGTATCGCAGAGGTTCGAGGACCTTAGACAGAAAATGGTCCAAGTGGCGAGGGCGGCACCCAGCTGCCACCAACCTCAACAGTCAGTTCAATCGCGGGGCATCATCCAAACGGTCGTTTGACTTCATCCAGACCACCTCACCTCAAATCGTAATTGATCCATTATTGCTCTCTCCACACAATCTCGTTATCGTGTGACTAATTGCTCTCATAAGGTTGCGTTCATACAAATGTCAGATGAACTCAATAGAATTGTGAGCGGAACATATGCGCTTCCGCAGCGGAGCAAACTCACTTCAGCTATGCTCGGCCCACCACCGCGGTTAAGGATTCTGCCCATATATAATCAGTAGTGACCCGACTGCTAACACTAGTACTCACCCACTGGGTCCCCACCGTTGGCTTGTTACTTCGGAGCGAGCATAACAACCAAACGGGCTCCGCCGCTTAGCTCATGCTCCGTCATTTACAATAACATTGTCACTTCACAATAACTTTCATCACTTACATATAACATCATCACTTACAATAAATCACCACTTACCATAACACTGTCGCTTACGATAACATTCATAGTATCGCCGGATGACGATACTTCTCATCAATCGGTCACTCATATGGACTGAGGCATATGTTCGCTTAACGATATGGCGTAATCATGTATATTATTTTTATATATTAGCATTATCGTGATGTATGTATATTCATAGGTTTTTGGTACAACGCCATTGTTTGGTTCACCCCATTGTTTAGTATAATCCATAAAAAGGATTTGAACTTTGCTCTCTTGTCCGTGGTGGACACAAGTTGGTAGTCAGATCACAGCAACAAAACTACTGAACCTTCACCACAGTCATTTGCATAATTCAAAAATTGCCACGATGGCTTGGCGTGTTATCATAAAAGAAATCCTTCACCAAGATTTAGGAGATAAAGAATTGCAATTTGCTACGGAAAGTGTTTACTTTTACATTAGTGACATTATACTAGTCGAGAATGTAAAGACACCGATGAGCATGTCAGAGAAAATTCGACTGAATTAGCAGTGTTCGCGATTTTTCCACTCCTGTCCCGAATACCAATGTGGAGGCGCAGTCAGCGCTGTTGGATAGCTCGTTCATGAGAAATGATAATCAGTGTAGCTCTGCTGAGCGACGGGCGGGCGTTTTGCCAGGACATTTTCTCTTTTCTGTCAATGGGATAGTGTGGTTGTTAAGCAAATTTCGTCTTATTAGAAACGAGGACCATCCTCGTTTTTTCTCTGACATGAAGAATTCAATAAATTATCACTCTGTTGCTTTATCGAAGCAGGAAGCGACCCCTTCATCTCACAGACTTTTTATTTAGCCTTTCACAAGGTTTGGCGTTACATCTTAGTGATATACACACGATTTTGGCATTGCCGCCCACCTCATCAGTATCGCACCCCCCATACTAAGAGTAATAGAGAGTAAATTCATTTCGTATACTAACGTGCATTTACAACCTCCGGTCTGCTCATCAAGAAAATCAACACCGTGTTAGTTTGTGTTTTCTTTATAATCCTATAACAACGAAAACTCGACACTGTGGGGACGAAAGGTGAGCTCTCAATTCGATCTGACTTTGGGAAAAATGATGACGTTGCAACGTTGCCCAGACAGAGCTTACTACTGATCTCACGATAGCCTATTACTTAAGGAAATAATTATTGTTATACTGACGCTGAAAGACGATTTTTAGACATTTTCGATGATTGGCTGGTGGCAGGCTACAGGATAACTTCACTGTTTCTTATCTCAACACATGATCAATAAAAACTGCACTGTACTGGTCAACAAAAAACGTGCAACCCTCCCTTCTTGCACGATCATGCAGCCCCCGAGGCAACTTCTGCTGACATGTCAAACTCTTTGAAACTGATACTTGCCGCAAAAATTTTGAGGAACTGTCAGAGCCGATTATGCTTTATAAAGAAGCTTAATCTCAAAACCTTGAATATACAAATTTGCACTTTGTTGACGATAGCTGTTACCTCTATGCAATTAGTACAAAGTTGTGAAAAAACTGACTTACATCAGTCTAAATTCGCAATTCATATCGCATATTCGAGTCATCCTGATTTCACTAACACTGTTTATTCCTAATGACATCAACTTTTGTAATGAATATCTACAAATGAAGCATATTGTATGAAGTCACATGACTTTCCAATTCGGATCAAAGGTCGTCAAGTCAGCAAAAACCTGTAATCTTAATTTAGAACATGAAATCCTTCTCATTCGACTGTTTTCCAGACATCGCTCAAAGCAATATAATTTGACAATGTATTTTTGTGTCAGATTATATTGGTCTAAGCGAGGTCTGAAAAAAAGTCAAATATGAAAGTGTTATCAAAAACACCAGTTTTGAGCAACTGACTGTTATTCACTACAGTTTATACTCTAGTACAATAATTAATGTATTTTTATGAGGTTTGATAATGGACACATGTGTTTATTAGAGGGCTGGCAATGGGGTAACGACTGGCACCAAGCCCTACCATTGCTTTCATGTCCAAAATGGAAGCTCCAGTTCTCAGTTGTGGTCCATTGCTCTACTGTCGATACATAATTGTCCTATCATCTGCTCGACACAGAAGGAGGTGGACATATGTTGTGATCTTTTGAACAGACAGCCACACATATTAAGTTCACACGGAAGCAACCTAGGAAAAACTGACATCCATTTTTGATCGTTCAAATTCACCTTCCTGAAAATGGATACATAACAAAATGGTATCGCAAACCAAGTAACAAAAACATATTGGTGCACTAACTTTCTTCCCCCCTCTTACACACGAAAATAGCGCTTATTCGGGACTGGTACCGAACGGCTACAAGTGTTTATACGGGAGTGGGGAGAGAGAAGAGTCACTATGTTCGACACGAAAGATAGCCATCTCAAATGGCTACGAAAGAGCAGCTACTGAAGTTAGGTCAATAAGGAGAGTTACGCTCCATAACAATAATAACGAGAACGATGTTGATTCAAGACTAGACGGGAGGATACT